ACAGATCTTTCAGATTTCAGGATCCTTTTCAGGATGCTACACGAGGATGTCTTGGCCCAAAGCAGGGCTGAAGCTGGGTCTGGCCTCCTAAGAACATGCAGTAGCTTTTGGTATCTATCAGGAATGAAGGTCCTCCTTTAGAGACAATGCCAGTCATTTCAATGTTCCTCCTCCTCCTCCTCCTCCTTTCTTAGTTTCTAGGGGGTGTTTTATCCCAAAAGGCAAAAGAACTGTGTCTCAAGGAACAAACGCAATGAGAATGGGGGAAAACAGTCTTCTGGACTTCTGCTACCGATGGTTTTGCTCAAGTACTTCTTATGAGTCAAACTGCTGATTAAGTGATCATTTGGGGTGGGTGAATGGGGGAGTTGAAAGAATGCAAGGAAAAGCAGCCCTTCTCTCTGAGAATGGCTGGTCTTGGTGAGGCCAATGCCCACGGTTCACTCAGATGCTCGCTGGGGACCTTGTGAATTGTCATTGCTGTGCCAGGCAGGCTGTAGACTTGGTGGGAGAGATGATGAGGCCGGAAGAGAAGGGGGGCGGCTGGAATGACGGTCTGTGCAGGTAATTAGCAAAATTCAGAGCGGGTGGATTTCAGCTCACGTTGTCGGAAGCTGTCACAGGGGAAGCTGCTAATTAAACCGGTTTGGGAGATGTTGGCAAGCCCCCGCCACTGGTGGGATTGAAGTTCCATGCGCCACTCCACAGGGAGGGGCAGGAGATTGTGCTCCTAGCATCTCTTGCTGTCTCAGAAACGTTCCAAGGCAGATAATTGCATTCTTTTGAGCTGGCCAATCATCCATTGGTACCCACTGTTTTCTGTTCATGGCCAAAAGACCCCCCCAAATTGGGTGAAAGGAGAGAAAAGCCATTTTGTGACATTGCCTTCCTGCTCGGTCTTGTTTTTAATCCTCATGGAAGGTGTGAATGAAGATGCGGGAGATTCCACTTCAGGAGGCTGGACTCACATCTGGATGGAGCTGGCTTTACTCGCTCGCCTAAGGCGAGTCGAGCCAAATGATGCAGTAACCAGAGGTGATGTGGTTTCCCTTATTTATCTTTTGCCCCCCCTCCAAAGATGATGGGAGATGTAGTCCAACCATATTTGAAAAGCCACAAATTCCCCACTTCTGTCACACAATAGGCTTTTTCATTTCCAAGGCAGCCCTAGGGAGGAGGAAGATGGATTTTATAAAATTAGGTACCTGATAGAAAACTGCTTGCCTTCATCTTCTCTAACATAGGGACCTGTCACCCAGAAAACTGAGCAGTTGTGGATCTAGAGCGGGCGGGGGGGGGGGGA